ATAACCATTTTTGTACATTTCTTGTATATTTGCATTTATACTTCTTCACCAGATGTAATTCATGAATATTAAAAAGTGCAAAATGACCTACTTAGCTAGGACATAAGGGAGTGATTACCATTTTTTGTTTTTTTGTCTTATACTGAGAATTAAAGCAGGTCGTTGTAAGTGCAATATATATTTACCATGGCATTGGGAATGGTTTGAGCCAAGTAGTCAGTAATAAAATTCTGCTGTGACAGTCGGGGACTAAACCGTAACATGTGATGTTAGTCAAGTTCTACATTAGTCTTCTACAAAAAAAAAGTAACTTAAGTATTGTTAATGTCATGTTTATACCCCATTGTAAAAAAGATTGTATGGTATCATCTGCTTCTTTCCACAATATTTATTCCTGTGTATTTGTGTGTGAATGTATGTATTTACATATTTTTTGTGAAATTGAAGTAAGCTTAACACAAAAGCAAACTTAAATTATAGTATAGACAATTTCTTTGACTTAATTTCCATAGCATTGTAATTTATATTGTTATGAAATCGTGAATTAATGTTTGGGTAAATTTGAATGTAAGGCATCCAGTTGGGTGAGAGTGTTATTCTATTTAACCAAATGTGCAGTGGATCGGTCCATTAGACCGACACTCATATTGGAGATGGAATGTTGACTATACTTCTGAATATACTTTGTATATTTACACAGAGTGTGGCAGGGTTTAAGTAAAGTATACGTCTGTTGTACACAAAACAACAGATGTTATAAACATATGTACTCAAAATATGTCTGTGAACTGATGACATCAGTCTGAATGTGACTAGTTGAGTGCAAGGTGATATTCATTTGAAGAATAAAATAATTTTGTACATTGTACAGTTTGCATATTACATTTGTATAACCTCTAGTACATTCAAAATGCATATCCCTAAATTGTTTTTCCAGTAACAGTGTTATATCTAGTACTTATTCTAGGCTAAGAAAAAAAAATTGCCATTTATTGATTAAGCGTGATGTTTGTTGCAAAGAAAGTCCAGAATAAAATTAATTAATCTTTTGAAAAATTAATGTTTTTCTTGGGATGAGTTACAGTAACTCAGTATGATCGTAATATTGGTTTGTTTTTTTAGTTGTATTTTTTTGCCTTCCTATCCTATAACAATCTATGTATATATTATTCTTTAACTTTTCTCTGGTGCTAATTTGTTGAGTTGTAATTTTTAAGTGTCACCAAGAAATTTGACATCCAATGTCCTACCTAATTGTGTTCTTTATTTCTTGATTTGAATTTTCAATATTACTTTATTTTTGTTTGTTTTTGATTAAAGGCTTAGTGAAAATGAAAACGATTTTTACCCTACTTACAAAACGATATAGTTAGTTACTAATGATTGAACATTGGCTTCACAAGAAGAGTAATTAGCTTGATTTTATAAATTTTCTAACCCTAAGTTAGCTATTTTACTATGCTCACTATCAGGAGGGTCCACAGATTGCATCATATTTAGTGATTGTGTTTGCATGTTGCAACACTCAGTGTAAGGAACTTACATTTTTTATGTAAAACACACAAGAAACCCCAGTATTGGTTAATAAAATTAAATGCAATATTGATGGAATTTTTAATTTTTTTATTTCTTCATATTTTATTAGGGACATTGTAACTAACAAGTCTGTAGATTCACAAGTATTGTTGTGTATAAGTAGTTTAGAAAAATGTGTTTTAAAAATCTGAGGTTTATTGGTAATTCTAGGGTTAAAATAAGTGTGAATTTTTAGTTTATTAAACTGCATTTTCATGTATAAAAGTACCTCATGAGGTATATGATTAAAATGTGTTTTAAAAATCTGAGGTTTATTGGTAATTCTAGGGTTAAAATAAGTGTGAATTTTTAGTTTATTAAACTGCATTTTCATGTATAAAAGTACCTCATGAGGTATATG